AACACTGATATAAATTAAGAAAAATTTCAATAGATTAAGGGTGATTTCAGTGGATTAAGAGTAATTTTATGGGATATCCGAAGGTTTGTTGGTATATTTGAGATATCTAAGGATCAGAACGGATATATGGGTATTCGGGGTAATCAACTATTTGTATAACTAATAGAGGATTAAGTGGATAAAATGGATTTCGAGTATCAAGACGGATATTTGGGAGAGATGGATATCAAAACGGATACCAAAAGCCAAGATTTTTTATCCCCCTATATCCCCCTTAATCAAGAAATCCCTTGATATCCCTCCTGATCTCAAAAATCCACAATATCCGTCTTACTACCTTTAAGTCTCTTATTACACACTCAGTCTTCCAATATCCCACCTAATTCCTTAAAATCCATTATCCCTCGCTAGAATCCGCTTATATCTCACTTTATCCTTCGATAACAAATACAAGCCCTTGAATTCAATTTAATCCGTCAATATCCACCAATATCCCAGTTAATCAATCTTAATCTCCTTAAACTATTTGGTCATTCTGTCATTCATTGGTTATAAAAATTATTTGAAAAATCGAAAAATATCGAGACTTTTTTTCGATATTTTTCGATATTCGATATTTTTCGATATTTATCGAAAAAATATCGACCGAGAAAATTTTGATTTTTTCGATATTTTTCGATATTCGATATTTTTCGATATCTATCGAAAAATATCGACCGACCCCTTCGGCCGATCACTAGTATATTAGAATAAAATTCTTTGAATCGAGTTTCTTTTGAACAAAATCCGGATTTTTTTCAAACCGACTAGACACTAATTCTTTGGTTTGTGATAAAAAAAATTTTTTGTTGCAACGAAGGATCTTTTAAAAAGATGTCGTTTCGGATATTTGCTAATTCTCATTAAACAATAATCCATACCCTCTTTTGATTTTTTTCTTTCCACTTATCTCAGGTGAGACTGACAAGGTAAGAACTAGCGGATCATTTTCTTTTTCATAAATTTTTTCAATTTTCTTTTCTTCTTCAATCGTTTCAATTTCACTACCAAATTTCTTATATATTTCAGGCATTAATGTGTTTTCCATTTTTATGTCCCTAGATTATATTTAAAATAATTTTTCTTACTTTTATATAAAATGAATTTAAAAATTGAGTCTTTAAGTTAATAAAATTTCTTATATTAAATTTGATTTATAATTCCCTGACTTGTCGAGGTTGAGTCTAATTTAGTGCTGGGTATAGCTCCGGGAGCAGATCCGGAGCCCGGCTCGGGCGGAGCCGGAGCTAAGATTTTGAAAACCCCGGAGCCGGAGCTGGAGCCGGAGCCAAGGATTTAAAGTGCCCGGAGCCAACAAATGGCAAATACCCAGCACTTGTCTAATTGTATATTAGTTCCTGGTAAAGCAGCATAAAAGAAACAAAATCTGGGTCGGTTTCAGATTGCCTTAATAAACTAATTCTATGGGTTTGTGACTTAAAATTATTCAGCGCAATATCAAAAATATTTCAAAATTATGTCGCCTTTGGATATCTATTACTTTTAATTATTTAAATTTGTTTAAATTCTATGTTCTGTTCAATTATAATCCATACCTTCGTTGATGGTCAATTTTAGGTCCTCTGTGCTTCGCTATTATCTCAGGTGAGAGTGACCTTGTAGGAACCAACGGATCATCATTTTCCTTTTCTCTAATAAGACCATTAATTATTCCTTTCAACTCTTGAGCCATCTCATTTAAAAATTCTTTGTTCTTTTTTGAATTTTCCTCTTCCAAATTAATTTCAGACTGAGAAGCTAGCGCTTTTAGGTCATCCATTGAACTAAAAGGCGTTCTAACCCCTGGTTTTTTTAAACTATACTTGTTTTCTTCTCCTATACCGTTATACCCAATTAAAAATAATTTTTTAAAAACCATAAGGACAACAAGAATACGGTATTTTGTTTCTCCATTTATTTCTCCTTAATTGTTTAAAATTGATTTTTAGAAAATTCGAGAAAGCGTATTGGAAGGTCATTTGTCGGTTAACCGAAATCTTACCGATCAGGGCAATTGTCAAAAAGTTTCCGCAGCCGCAATCCTTAAGTCAAAAGAATACGCAATTTCACGTATTCTGTAATCTGAAAAGGTCATATGACACATGCAGACGAGACATTTTCAGATATTAATTTTTGAAAAAAATTAATATCTTTTATAATAATATATAGTGAATTAAATTAAGATCATTTAAATAATTTAATTCTTCATGATTAATACAAACATCTGTTATTCTGGGTCTTCTGGGTCGTCCCATTCCTCAAATCAGCTTTTTGCCAACCTGTATTGGATGGAATCTGCAAATGTCTTATCTGCTAGTGTCGTGACACGGCTGTAATCCGCAATTCCGCCGAACCCTGTTACCGACAAACCAGTTCAGTTCGGTCTGAAACCGATAACCCTGATTGTGACACAATTTATAATATTTTCTCTATTTATTTTTATAAAAACTAGGTAACCTTTTTGTTTTACTAAGTCATCATTTTTATTCAAACTTGCAATTTCAGATGCTAGTAATTCCTTCGTTTCATCAGATGCTTTGATAAAGCTTCCTTTAACAGATACTTTTAATTTAAATGCAGTTTCCTTATCAGTTTCCTTCATCCCTTTATTTAATGAATCATAAATTTCATCAATAACTTTATTCTCTCCATTGGCAATACTTTTAATATTTAAATATAATTCCGCCGATTTTTGTGAAACTGTTTGTAAAATAATTTTTGACAACAATTTTATAAATTTATCTTTTTCCTCTAAATAACTGGATATATCTTTTATATCCTTCCCCTCCTCCACTTTACCCTCAAAAAAATTTTTAACATAAAACAATTTATTCGTTTCTTTTTCTTCTACTTTTTCAAGCTCATTACAAACGAATTTAAAAATTAAATCTTCCAAATTAACAGAATTAACTGTTTCAACAAAACAAAAAACAAACACTGAAAAATATTTTCAGAAAATTAAAATTTAATTTATTTTAAAATTACCTCCAAACGCCAAAAATAAATTCATTCGGAATTTAAAAAAAAATTTTTTCTTAATTTTAAATAATTTTTTTTAATTTAAATTTAATTTAAAATTTAGTCAATATTTAAAAAGAATGTTTAATTTTGCCTTTCATCTCTGCCTTTTTATGGCCTGACATTCGACATTGGAATTGATTTAGAGGATAAAGAAAAATTTAAAAAAATCCCCTCTCCCCTCCCCTCCTCTCTTTACCGCCTTTTTAAATTTTTTAAATAAAGAATGCCCTTTTAAATTTTCTCTCTAACTCTAAAAAAGACTTTAACTCTCGCTTTTGCCCTTTTAATTTTCAATTGATTTTACTGTCATTAACACTTTCACGTGAAAATAATTTTAAATTAATTTTGCCGGCTTTTTAAAAAGAAAAAAATTTAAAAGGAATGCCCTTTTAATTTTTGTGTTTTGGGTAGTCACAAGTAAATAAAAACATATGATTGCGCAATAAAAAATTATTCTTAGAGGCACTTGTTTACAATTAAAAGGGCATCGCTATTAAAAATAAATTAAAAAATCAAAACACAATTTTTAATTTTAAAGTTTTTTAAATATTTTTTTGGGAAAACGGGAATTTTCCCAAAATTAATCACGTTTCTTTTTCAATAGTCAAAATCTATCTTCATTCCTTGTTTATTATCCATAAAATCGGGAATTTACTTTTGTGGCATTATAAATTTTATATTTAAGATTTATTTATCTATTTTTATTAGAGATCGGCACAGGACAGGATCCCGCACAGGATTTTCAGGATCCTGTTAGAAATCGTGCCTTTTTTCAGTTTTCAGGATTTAAGGATTTTAGGATTAATCCTGCAGGATCCTGTCTTGTATGAAATTTTAAAACACAATCCTAATACAGGAGTATCGGTCAGTCTCGGTCTTGGGTTGGCCGATACAAGTATCGTTTTGTCCAACTCTACTTTTTATGCCAACTACTAAGCCTCTAAAACATAAACATAAAAACCCCTTCTCACACATATTTCCGGTTTTTTCTTCTACAGAAACTTTTAATCTTATTTAGGTTTTTAAACAATAAAATCGAATACCGTATATACTCTATTAATTACCCTGGGAAATTGTTGTTTCGACCTCTCCCTGGAGAGCGTAATTGATAGAGGCGGGGTAAATAATAGAGGTTATTTTAGAAAGGCTAATTATAACTACATTTGAGAGGTAATTATTGTTTCAACCTTTTTTTGGAAGGGGTAACTAATAGATGCGGGGTAATAATTTAAGGGAGGGTAATTAATAGAGGATATACGGTACCAACAACAAAAAATAAAAATATATAAATTTAAAATAGTCAAAAAAAATAAAAATTTAATAAACAATTTAAAAAGGAGAGATTATAACCGAATTTTCTTTAATTATTTACACCAGTAGAATCACCATTATTTTCGGAATTATTCCAATAAGGGTGAAATCTGAAAATTTTTTATTAATTTTTAGTTTTAATTAATAAATAATTACCTGTTTAAATTATTTATTTTATTTGAGGAAGTTTCCAAATTAATTAATAAATTATTGTCTTTTCCAATATTTGATTGTTGTTTTTTAGTATTTTCAGAGGTAGTAAAGGGTCTGAAATTATATAATAGTTGTGAAATTTTAAAGACAAAAACATTTTTTACTGTATATTTACGAGGTCCTTAGTACTTCCAAAGTTTCTTTCAACAATTATCAAGGGTTTAGCCGACAATGTAGATTTCAGATTTAAGGGGACAGAAATTTGCGGCCCTAAAAAAGGGAATTCTCAATTTTCGGTAAGCGGCTTGGCTAGCCATCTGGTAGACATAAAACTCTCAAGACTTCGTCTTGGGCCTTGATTAAAGGTTTTAAATCATAGTTTCAAGTCAAGTAATGGCCGGGAAATGTCAGTGTTTCAAGTAACCCTGCACATCTCTGATTCAAAGTTTACAAAATAAAATTTTTATTAAATTTCCTCACCCAGTCAAGCTATAAGTAAAGCTTAAAGAAGTCGGAAAAACAACAGAATCATCTTCTCTAACAAGTAAAATAGGAACATCTAATTTTTCATTTCCATTATTTGAATTAGCCAAAATGGCTGTTTCTGTGTTAAATCCCAAATCCGAACAAATTAAATTTAAAAAAGGAATTGAACAATTTAAACGTTCAGAAGAACTAAATTAAAGCAAATTTAATTTAAAAAATAATTTTTAGAAAAAACCAAAAAATTGTTTCTGTTGGGGTAGCTCCAATCCATACCCGTATTGAAGGGGAAAAGTTGGAACCATTTAATTCGATATTTGTTGGAATTTCTGATTTAAAATTGAAATTTTTAAAATTAATTTTTTATTTTCTACCCGATTTAATTCCATTATTTGTTTCTGTATTTAAACTGGAAATATTTAAATTATGTAATTGTGGCATTGGGGTAATTGGCAGACGGGCAAAAGATCCAATATTGGCTAAGGGCTTTAAAAATTAAAATTATTTTAAGTTGAAGTATTTAGGAGATTCTGGACGGAATAAAGGATAAATTTTCGATTTGGGGAATCGGGACGGCAAGATTTCTTTTTTATTTATAGATTTTTCTAAAAAATGATTTTGATTATAAAATACAATACTTTATTGTTTTAGCTAATAAAAACCGAACAATTGAGAAAAAAACATTTGCGGATCGCATGTGTTTAGATTTTCCTTTTTAGTATAACATCAAAATAAATTATTTATTAAAATCAGTTTTAGTAAAAACTGTTCAAACATGTTACGAGAAAGTAACAAAATGTTTGTTCAGAAGCTAATATTTCCTAAAAATTTGTCAGAAAATATCCAAATGTCGAGCACTTCTATCCATCCCCCCCATACAAAATAACAACTAAACAATTATTACCTCAGCCCATCTATATTCACTCTTGTCGGTGGATATTATTGTCCAAGCAGCCCCATCACTTATTTGATGTCTATTAGGGTCTATTCGGACAGCCTTAAATTAATTTATAAAATTTGGAATTATAAGATAATCCACTTGGTGCTGAATTATTTTATCGTGTGATAAACACAAATAAAGGGATTCTTGTCCGGCAACAACAGCACCTCCTCCACTTGTATCAACCATTTGGAATGCACATTTGTGTAATTGACTGACAGGTTCACCTTTAATTTTTTATTTAGGGATGGAGTTTGGGAGAAATGAATGAGGGGTATAAGCAGTAATTAATGCTGGTGGATATTGTTATAATAAAATTTAGAAGAAAATAAGAAAAACTTTAACAGAAAATAACAAAACTTTAAAGGTTAAATTAAAACTAGCATGTTTGGCAGCTCCTGGGAAATCTTGGGAGCAGGCCAAGGTACCGCAGAGCTATAATTTCGTTCACAATTGTCGATCCTGGACGCACTGGTACAGTTCGATACATTTCGACAAACTGAAGCGAACCGAACCAAGCGTCCCTAATTCGACAATTTCAGTACCTTGGGGTGTACCCTAAATCCCAGGTTAATCCCAACTTTTTTGGGGTTAGATCCACCAACATTACCTACACAGAATTTTTTGTTTATCGAATATTCTGTTAGGGAAAACTTCTCTTACTTTATTACTGCTAACTTTAAAAAACTATCTTCTACCTTGACTAGAAGGGTCTAACAAAACCATTTGTTTATCAACTTTTCTTATTCTCTAGAATTAAAAAAATATTTTTTCAAATATTTGAATTTACAAGTTTAGGTAATGCAATATTTGATTGAGCATCAATTAATTGAATAACAGATCCATAAGTTATAATTGTTGAGGTTTGATTATTATTTGAGTTGTTAGTTGTAAAAGGCTGGGGGTTATCTACTTAATATATACTATTATAATTTTTATTTTTTATATAGGGAAAGAATCTAACACCTAATTTGTACATATTTGTGATATTGAAGACACGTATACTTATCCATGCAAATATGTATTTTGGTTAGAGATCGTGTTAAGACTAGATCTCGAACAAAAATTTCAGTTATCTAGATTCGAAATATCAGTTTCGATTCTTCCAAGTCGTCCTAGTACGGCTTCTAATTTTGGTAATGATTTTTAGTTTCTCTTACAATTAAAAATGTATGAAAAACATATTTTAATATGAATTGTAGTAAACCCAAAAAAAGTGGTTGACAGGTTAATATCCCAATCTCATCTAAATCAAAAAATATCTCTAACCAGAATTAATATGGAAAGCTCCCCATTTTGTCGAACTTGCATGAAAACAACCATTTTCTACATGCAAATATCTTGTAGAAACTGTTTGTGAACGAAGACGATTAAAAAGAGCAATCTTTAAAGAAAATAATTTTTTTTTAATTTCAAATTTTATTTTTAAACTTTGCTTCCATTACTAACACATAAATATTTACAGTCAGAACTTTTCATTGACTGTTTCTTCTTTGATGGTTTTGAGATAACCTATAAAGTTAAAAAAATTTTATTAAGGGACTATTTAAATTCCATAATTATTATATTGTATAAGAAATTTAGGGAGATAACAATTTTTGTTTTCTAAATCTTTACCTTTATTCTTTGGGAAGAAAATGTGCCAATATCAATACCTCCACAAGCATGCGAAAATGTTGTCTTTAAAAAATGACTTTTTAAATTATATTTTAATAATAAGAGAAAGGTAAAATTTACTCCCCTTTTACAATTTTCTACCGAGATTTAATAGATCATAATCACTGCGCTGTAAGCAGAGTTGTTTCGAAATTTTAATTTACGCTTTTTGAGGTTTTTTGCTTTCGATTTCGATATTTTTGTTTTTTTTTATTTACGATTTTCGAAGATTTTTTAGTTTCGAAACATCTTTGTAAAGGTATTAAATAATAGAAAGTTGGATCCCCTTTACTATACATTAATTAGGGTTGTACCCCGAACGTTCGGGGGCGGGTATGTCGGGGTACGGGGTTTTCCAATTGTTTCGGGGCGGGGTTCGGGTCGGGGGAGCAAAATATGACCGGGGTTCGGGTCGGGGTACGGGGTTTTAGGGAAAAAATTTTTAGAGAAAAAAATGCTCAAAAATAATCAGATCTCGGTATATTTTCGCTAATTTATTCAAAAATTAAGTAGGATTTGAAGAAATTAGAGGGGATTTGAAAGGATTAAAGTGTATAACTTGGGATATAAGTGGATCTGGAGGGATTAAGTGGGATTTCTAGGGATTAAATGGTATATCTAGGGATACAAGGTGATCTGGAGTGATTTTTGTTGGTTCAAGGGATTTTAGTGATTTATAAGGATATTGAAGTATTGCGGATAAGGGTATTTGGACGGATATCAGGAGATATCTTGGATTAATCCTTAAATCTCCCACGAAATCCTTGTTAATTCCGTTAAATTCACGTAATTCTTTCAAATCCATTTTAATCTAAACCTTATATCCCTTTAAATCCCTTTATAACTCCTTAATTCTTCGATATACTACAAATTCCTTTATATCTCTGATTCCCGTTAACAGGACCTCGATAGTTTTCCAACTGTTATGGTTGGGAACCCCTTACTGGTGATACAAGGGGTTTGAAGGATTAAGGGTTGTTCAAGGGATATCAGTTAAAAATAAAATTAATATTTTAAAATTAAAATTTAACTCGTTAATAATTTGTTTTTGTAAAGAAATATAAAAACAAAAGAGTTCTCCTTATATGGATCCGAACCCCATCCTATATTAATGGAAATATAGGCTAAAACCAACAACTAAGCCACTCAACCACAAGTCTCTTAATTAAGAATGAAAGAAAATTTTGATATTTCATTCATTTTTCTTTCAAAAATAATAAAGGCAAAGTAAATTGTGAGGAAATTTTTAAAATTTTTCTCTTAAAATTCTCACAAAAATGGCATTTTTTGGGTGTATAAAACCCCGATAACCCCGAAACTTTTATGGTCGGGGTACGGGGTTTTCGAAATGTTTCGGGGCGGGGTTCGGGTCGGGGAGAATCGTGAAAAAATCGTTCGGGAACGGGGTCGGGGTTCGGGGTACGGGGTCGGGGTACAACTCTAACATTAATTAAACTCACATGTAAATAAAAATATTTTCTTTTGTCAGTATCACTTATAAATAAAGCTTTTGCTGCGCAATAATCCTTTAAATTAAAAAAAATTTCATTCTCTATATAAAAAATATTTTTAATACTTTTCCGTTTGTAAAGTCAAGAGGATGGGCAATATGATGGCAAGATAGCCTTTCTGTTGCATTTTGTGGTTGATTAATTCCGATAGTTGAAATTATTTCGCTAAACATTTCATGGCAAGAATCTCCATTTGAAAGGAAATCGGAACTTGGAAATTAAAAAATCTGTGAACAAAATAATCTGAATTACCTATTCTTTTCATTTTGTTCTTTTATTCGTTTAAAAATTTGATCGAGAGCTTTTCTCCTATTCCGCCAACCTTCTCCAAGTAAATAAACACAAGGGGGAGGACAAAAAAATCTTTAAAAAAATAAATTTTATATTTTAATTTGTTTTGAAATTAAAATTTTTTAAAAAGATTTTGTGATTGGAATTAGGATAATATAATAAAAATCCTTAATTTTCTATCCAATTCCTTCTATCCAATTCCTTGGAGTAAAAAAGCTCGAATATGTGTCTTCATTAACGAATTAATCAAAACTTATCCATTTACTCTACTATAGATTGCTGACAAAGGATTACACAACTAAAGTAGGGTATGATCCTGTATACCAAATTTCATCCCTAAGTCCCACGAACACCCTACAGCCTCTTGTGAGTCCCTTGATTAATCCATTTAGGTTAGTTATTAATTGGTTAATATTTCGTTAATTTAGAACGATTTTGTGATTGGACTCTGTCCTTTTAACTCCTAAACTCTATCCTCTTAATTGAATTAACAGACGATAACTTTACTTTATTATTGTGTAAAACATCTCTATGTGGCAATCCCCACAATACTTGTCCCTTTTTAGTGTCACACATCTAAATTAGGATTTACAATATTTGCCCCTTGATGACCTTCTTCAATAAACTACCCTCAATTCTTCATTTTTTCATTCTTACTATATTACACAATTTATGTATTTACATTAATTGACTGGTCATTATTACCCACAAAAGTGTTCCTTCCCTCATAAACTAGACAATTTGTCCCTCTACTTATTGTGAGAGAGTCTTTTATTCACAATTTGCTATTTCCTTGAGAGTATTTGCTTTAAGGATTTACAGACCCCTCCCCCCCCTCCCCTTCATTTTAACCATTTTTACCCAAAATATTTTAAAGAGCTTTAAGAAATATATGTTAATTCTCACTCAACTATTCTATTCAATATTTGTTAATTTTTTGAATAGTTTTGAGTTACTTAAAATATATTAATTGTTATTTACTGTTACAAATAATGGTAATTTTTAGTTTTAGAATGTTATTAACATATGCTTTTGTATGTTATTCAGCTACTTAAATGTGTGTGGAAATTAATTAAAGATAATTCTGATATTTTTAAATAAAGTGTTAAGGAAGTAAAAGATACTACCTACAAATAAGACTGTATTAAATGCCCCATGTAGAGAGAGAGATCACAACAATAATTGGCCTCCCTCAAATGATTACCCCTTATCTTTTCCTACCCTAATTAAAAACATATTTGTGTTTGATGATACTAAGGATCAATTTAAAGAATAAATCGAGAGATTAAAAAATTTGAGGAGAGGATAATGAGAGATTAAGAAGTTTTATAGAAGATATCAAGATTTTATGAGCTACTCCCAGTGAGAGATCGAATAATAATTAGCCAGGGTAGTTAATACAGCTTTTACGGTAACTATACTTCTATTGTCTCACAAATCATGAAAGTTGATTTTAAAATATCCGTAAGGGGTTATTTTAGAGAAAATGCTTATTTCGGATTAAGTAAAAATATTCATTCCATCACATAATTACTTAACTTTTTATTATAATCTTAACTTATCTAAAAATATTCTTTTCAAATTATAATTACACAATTTTAACAAATTTATTTATTAAATATCCCTCTTCTTCCTCATCCTATATTTAAATAACTCCTTTAAATATTTTGTTCATCTCGAATGTCTTTTTAAAGGATTGAATAACCTAACCATTTTAGAGGATTATCCCCTCAGTTTTTACATTAATGTTTCTTGTTATATGTTTCCCCAATATTTAAACAAATGAATTTATGGACATAAATGAACAATGGATACTTAAATAATAATTATTAATTGTTTTGTGATTTTCCGCGAAAATATAAATGTCTTTTTAAAGGATTTACTCGATTAAATTTAATCGATTAATTCCCCTCCCTCGATTAATTCCCCATCCCACGGATGGGTTGAAAAATTAATTTCCCAGGGATATTAATCGAGTACATACAGTAAATCCTTTTTTGGATATAATAATTAGCTAATAAAAATTTCGTTTAGTTATTTTGTGTAATTATTCTTTTCGTTTTGAATAGGGTTGGTAAATCTTGAGAAATGTTTGGATATCCGGATTTGGTATACGAACCTATAAATTTACGGCATTTTTCAATCCAAATCCGCCCACCCTATTTAAAACGGTTTTTTTTACTTTTTTCTGTTTTTTAACAAAATATTTCGGAAATTTTTACTTATGGAATATATTTTTATTAATTAAGTATTGAAATTAATTTAAAAAATCATTTTTATTAAAAAAAACTTTTCTAACCTTTTTTCGTTTCCATAACTTTTTTGAGCAACTTTTGCATGGAAAATCCACATTGCACATTCATAACGTCCAGGATTAGCCAAATAATCGCGCATAGCTGCGCTTGTCAATTGTTGTATAGGTGGAAAGTTTAAAAGTATAGGAGAAATTGTTTGGAGCTAAAAATAAATTTTTGGATTTTAAATATAATTTTTAAAAGGACTCCAGGATTATAGGACAAATATATTTCTCCCTCCTCACTCTTCCCCCTTCCTTCCCTCACCTTTTGCTGTTCATTTACATTCTCTAAACCTCCACTACATTCATTGGCATTTATGGCAGAGGAATTATTGCAATGCCTTGATTGGCTACTTTCCATTCTTTGATGTTGAGGACCGTTACCATTAGATGCGGTTGAGGTTAAAGAAGTTGCTGGACCTGTTTAAAAATTTTTTTTTGATTTTTTTAATATCAAAAAAATTTTGGATTAATAATAGAAGAGAATATTGAATAAAGAGAATATTTTACAATAAAAAATAGAAACTCTCGGCACTTTATTATCGAGAATTTTGATAAAAACATTTAATCTTATCAAGATAGAGTTAGAAAATTAAAAGAATTTTTATTCCAATACCTCTTCCCCTCCCTCTTTTAGACACAAATTTTGAGGTTAATTGACGATTATTATTAGTTGATGTAGTAGAGGTAGTAGCTGCTAAAAGTGCCGCTGTTTTCTGCCATTCTTTTTGATTATTATTAGAATTTATTTGACTTTTAATTTCTGTACTCCCTTCAATTATTGGAGCAATAGAATCAAAAATAGATAAAGCTCCCCCAGATTCAACAGCAGAATGATTTTGTTGTTGAATTAATTCTCCAACATTATTATCAATTGTTGGGTATCCCCAATGTGTCCAATTAATTGTTGATGAGGAATTTTGTCCTCCTCCATAGTAATCAAATGTTGGCCAACAAAAATTAGTAATTTGGGAAGGATCCCCTATCTGTCCTGCAGCGATAGCTGCTGCGGCAGCCAAGGAATCATAAAGACCTCCTACAGAGAAATATTGGGAAGATTGTTGTTCATCTAGAATTTGGAAATTTTGTGGATACATTGAAGGCAACATTCCCATCGTCCCAGCATTGTTATTATAATCAAAAGCTGCAGCTATTGAAGTAAATGGATGGGGGTAGTATTCTGTAGATATATTAGTAGAGTTATCAGATATTTGGTTGCTGGGGTTTTGATAATCGAGCCAGAAAGGGAAATTTGTTGAAAAAGTATTAGATATTTGTTGGTTATTACCCGTTGAATTGTTAAATTGTTGGGAACCTTGTTGTTGGGAAATTTGTAAATTATGAGACGGATTTATTGAAGATTGTTGTTGATGTTGTTGATTATTTGGAGATAACCTTTGTATAGCTAAACAACCTTCGTTTAAATTTTGACTAGAAGATTTGGGTGGATTTTGAGAATTAAAAAAATTAGTTGACGAGATTGGAAGGGTTAGTTGACTAGAATTGGGTATTTCTTGATTAAATGAAGGTAAAATCCCTGAATGTGAATGAATCGGTTGATTTTGTCCTAGTTGAGGTTCCTGAAGGTTTTGCTGATAATTTTGGTAGTTTGGTGGATTTGAAAGATTATGTGGATTTGTGGATGGTAATTGAGAAGTGGATGTTAATTGAGAGCATTGGGGCATAAATTGGTGAAATGATTGATGATATAAATATTCGGGCATTGAGGTAATCGGAAAGTCTTGGGGAGGTAGTGAATTGTTGTTAGTTGTTTTGATAAGTTCAGTAATTCCTTCTTGGGGACAATTGGTCATTATAGGATAAATTTATGAGATAAAGTAGATATGAAAAATGTAATTAAAAATACGAATATTCGGCTATTTAGAAATAAAAAACAAAACAAAAAATTATTGTATACGAAATTGTTTAATGGTTTATTGTGCTTTTAGATTAAGGAAAAGGTTTAAAAAAGTGAAGTTGAACTAATAAATAATAAACATGATTAGGGTTGCCGTTTTCAAGTCGGCAACCCTAATTTTTTTTTCAAGTTTTTTGGGCTTGTTCTTATCGAGTCGGGCCCTACGAGTATATCTATCTTAGACCCGACTCGATCTTTCGGTCCGACTCGGGCCATTTCGGCAAGTCGGGCCATTTTGGATAGTTTATGCGAATTTATTTAATAATATTTTTTATTGGTTAGTCCCTAAAATTTATTTTCCGATCCCTCTTCTATAACCTTCTTCCATATATCGTGGGATGAGAGAATAGTAATCTTGAACTTATTTATGTTACTGAGTATTTTCCCATTCACTTTACCGCTACAAGGCAAATCGAAAGCTTATCTAAAGGCTAGATTTGTGGATAGTGGGAATCTCCCACAGTTTTTGAACAGAGGAAAGGGGGATGTTTTTTGTCTTCTCTGCTGGACTTGTTCCAACAATCTTATGGGAGAATTTCCTCAAAATACATCCACTAAAATTTTCCCGCAATTTTCTCGTAATTTTGTCAAAAAGGGTGTGAAACTATAGAAATTCTGGGATTTGGCAAAATTAAAAGGAAAATATTTTCTCTAAAAAAATTTTTATTAAAAAATTTTAGCTTCTAAATTTCTTCAAAAATTTATTTAAAATACTCAAAATAATGTTTTAGGTTCTATTGGTTCTCATAAGCCATAAAATGTGAACAATATTGTTGGGCACATTCAAGAAATGTATACCAACAATCCTTCCTTTCTTTTCCTCCTCATTACTTCCATTTGCCACTTTTTTGTCTATATCCAAATGTCCCACCCATGAAATGTTTTTAAAGCCCCGGCATTCTGTAGAGGATTGAAAAGCTTTTTTTAGAGAGTAACTAGTTAAATTTGTATTTTGTGGAAAAAATTTTGGGGGCAAAGGAAGGTAATTTAAATGGAAAGTTTCATACTTCCAATTCACAGTAAAACGCCACTCTTTTCCCATTTAGTATCTGAGAACCTAATCACAATTTAATTAAATTCTTGGCTTAATTAAGAGCAATTTGTCTTTGAAAAAGGTAAAAACCTTCCAACTATTTTTCAACTAAAAACCTTTAACTAGTTAAATAAATTAAAGAAATACTGTAGAAAAAGCTTTCCCCCTTCCCCCAACCAGTTTGGCATTCCTCAAAATTGAAAATGGCGCACTGTGGGAAAATTTTGGAATTGGCAATGGAAAGGAGGACAAAACTAGAGAAGCTGGTTGGGGGTTTTGTTTGGAATAAAGTAAAAAATATATAGAAGAAATGATTAGAGAAAATTTAAAAAATAATTTTAAAGAAATTATTAAGAAAAGTTAAGCAAAAAAGTTTGATATCAACATAATTTTTGTGGGATAATTTTAATTAAACATTAATTTATTTACATCATTAAATGGGAAATTGACAAAATTGGAATGTTTAAATAAAAAAATTAAAATTTTTGGGAAAAAATTATTTTTACATAAATGACAAAGTTTAATTAAACAAAATAATTTAATGCATTATTTAGATATAGTAGTGTTATCCCCCGTACTCAGATAAGCTTTTGAAAGATTTTTTTGAATTAAAATGGTATACATATGATGATTAAATATTTACATATAAAAATTTCAGAAATTTTTTTTTTATTTTTTTAAATTTTCCCAAAAACGCCGTAACCTAACTAATGTAAGAACTCCAATAGAATTTTTCGTCAAGCCACAGAAATCCAAGTACCACATATTCTTGCCCTCTAACTGTTTTGGGGGGTCCATCCCAGGGATGTCAGGGTTACCCGAAATCTGACAAGAGAAATTTTTTAAAACCCGACCCGTAACCCGACATTTTTGTAAACCCGTGACATCCCTGGTCCACTCACAAGAGGAAGGAAAATAAAATATAAATAATAATAATAATTAGAATAATTTCGAATTTTTAATTGAAACAAGGATTAAAGGTACTTTATGGATATATCACCCCATCCCCCTTCCCCATTTCGAGTCACAGCTTTCCTTAATACACAATGTAATAATGGTTACTAATGCCTTCATTTATATGATGGGAATTGACGAAAGAAGAAATTAAGGAAAACTCTGACTCAAAATAGGGGGGGGGAATATATCCATAAAGTACCGGATTGAATTTTTAACTTAATTAAATTTTTTAAAATTCAAACAAACCAACATTTTCTCTTATATTTAGCACTAATAATTAGCGGAACTTGCTGTTCCTCATTATTATTAGTTTTTGTTGTTGTTGTTAAATTATGATCAAAAGAATTTAATGAATTTGTAGGAGGAATATAACTTAAAATCTAAAATTTAAAAATTAAATTATTTTTAAAAATTAAAAACTTAATTTTTGGTTAAAATCAAATTTAAATCCAAAAGCATGTGCCAACTGAATAAAATGCAGGAAATTTTCGGCTGTTGGAAGTATTGGATTTAGAGCTAAATATTTAATTATAAATAATGATTGTCAATAAATATTTGGATTGGGATACTTTGAGAGGAAAAGGATTAATATTATTTTAAACTTTCAAACACTTAATTACTAGAGGTAGGAGCAGGACAGGATCCTGCACAGGATTTTTCAGGATCCTGTCCGGAATCCTGCCTTTTTTTCAGTTTGCAGGATTTTCATGATTAATTCTGAGTGATCCTGTCCTGTTCTATTATTTAATTTTTCTGATTCAATTTAATTTCATTAAACGCTGCAATTGGACGATAATATGGACAAGAGCCAAAAATTCACGTGACTTCATACATATTAACGCGCTTCGTCAATTTTTCCTTCAGCGCCAAAATTTAGGAATTTATAAATAAAAATAAACGACTGTTAAAAAGAGATTTTTAAAACTAAGCTTTATGGTTTTCAGATAAATGTGAATTAAAATTAAGATGTGAATTAAACGGTCATGTCCTACCCTAATAATAATATAAAAAATATTCCAGGAGCTAGAAGTATTGTACGAAAATTTGACGATTTACATTAAAAACCCCTTTAGAAATCCAAAAAATTTTTGTTTTTAAAAATTTTTTATTTACTTGGTGTTACTATTGGACGGAAATTTGCCGAAATTTGGTTATTATTATAATTATTTTGTTGTAACAACAACAATGCTTGAGCTAGATTTGATTGTGCTAAAGAATTATATGAAATATTTGGTTGGAAAAATAATTTTTGTAAATTGTCAAAATTATTTAAATGAATATTTTCGTTGTTAATTGTGGGAGGGGATTTGGCAGGTATTGGTTGTGGTTGTTGTTGTTGATTTGAGGAAATTTCTGTTGGACTTGGACTTCCCATTGGAGGCAAAAATATATTCTAAAAAATAACTTTAAATATTATTTAATTTTTTAGGCAAATCTTTTTGAGATAATTGATTATTTTGATTGTTGAGAGAAAAGACACCGGGCGCTATACTTTATGGAGCAGTGTATTGAAATCATAATGATCAGAAAATACCCTAAAATCAAGTGTTTTTCCTTATTTAGATGAATATGGTGTGTTAAGAATGTATCTAGGTTCTTATTGTTTGAGTAATCTGGAATTTTTATAGGAGATTTAAAAACAATATCGGGGACTATATACACAAAATCTTAAAAAATCATTGGCTTTTATTTTTCTATAAACTTTGTTCTCTTTACTTATATCTACTTTAGTATATGAATTGAAATACTCATAAGAATTTTTGTAAAATTTTTCTATCATTTTTAATAAAAAATCTAAATTTTATAAAAGTGGAGTTATAATTCCTAAACAAAATAAAATCCTTAAAAATATTATCTAAATAAAATTTATTATAAATAATTACAATATTTCTCGATTAATTACCCTCCCTCAACTAATTCCACCTTTGAATTCCACCTCTCGAATATAATTCCCCAGGGGAATTAATCGAGAAAATACAGTATTTAAAAAATAATTAAAAAAGAATTTATTTTAATTAAATATAAAAACTTAATTTGTGGAATTGTTCATGTAATTCTTCCATATCAACATCTTCATTAATTACATCATTTTCCTCTCTATTTTCATTTTTAATATTTCCAACCTCAATTTTATTTAAATGATTTTTTTGTTGACAATTAATTAATTGTTGAATTTTCATTTGGAAAATATTTTTTTTGATTTTGAGATTTTTGTAAAAACTTGCGAAAAAAATTAATGAAAAAATATACTTTATGAAGGAAAAGAATGATTTTTAAAATTTATTAAAATTCAAAAATAATGTTTAAAAATGGATTTTTAGAATAAAAATTGTATAAGGGAACATGCCGACATAAAAAATAAATTACTGATTTTTGGATACAGGGAATTCTCGAAAGCATTTAACCCGACGGAGGGGGGGGGCGTGGGGGAACAATTTTCGGATAGGAAGCGCCACGGGGGGGGGGGGGGGTGTTTCAAAAAATCTCTCAAATTCCCCGACTTTCGGGGACGGGGAACAACCCTAATTTTAACAGCCTGAGATTAAACCTTTAATTATTTATCAAAAATAGATTTTAAAATAATTTTTAAATTATCGATTATTTATTGTTTAATTATAAAAAATAAAAAAATAATTTTTTTAACTGTCAGAAATAATTTAAAAAATTAAAGTATTACATATTTGTATGTACTTAAATTTTCTTTCAAAAAATTATACTCTTCATCACGCATAAAAAAATAATGAAAAAAAATATGTGTGTAACAAAAGATATATTTTCATTTAATGTTTTTATTTAATTAGTTCCCAAATTCAATGACAAGACTTAAAAAATAATTTAGCTAATATATTTTTGTATAAGGGATCTAGCCGACCCGATTCCCGAAAATCAGGAATTCCCGTCGTTTTTTGGGTCGGCCAGATCCCTGTTTGTATGTTGCCTAGTTACCGTATTTACTCAATTAATTCCCCTGGGGAATTAATTTTTTACCCCATCCTTGGGATGGGGAATTATTCAAGGGAGGGGAATTATTCGAATAAATACGGTATTCGAATTTTATGGTGATAGAAGGTAAAAAATAATTTTATAAAATTGTGATTAAATTATTTTTAAGTAAAAAGCACTTATAAATATGTACAATAAAAATAAAATTATTATTATTTTTTAGAAAAACCTTTCTCTCCTCAAACAATTTAATATTTCCCGCGCTCTATTTGGCCAGCTTTAATAATTTCCCACAAATTTTCACAACCCCGCAAATATTTTTATTTTAGAAGGGGGAAATGAAAGTTTAAAAATGTTAGCTAGTTGGGTATAAAAATAGTTTTATTTTATTTTTTTTTGAAAAAAAGTTCCCTGGGAGCGGCGGAAGAAATGGAAGAAACAAAAAAATAAGGGGGAGGGGGAAGCTCTGATCACTCCTCCGCCCTTCACTATTTTTTCTTCCAAATACTTTTATATTTTTTTATTTTCCCAGAGACCACCGAATTGCCCAACAATTCTCTCTCCAAAAAATAGTTTATTTTCTCAAAGTCATTCCCATTCCGCCTTTTCCACTTTTAAGCAGTTTTTCCAAGCGCCCAAAAAGTGTTTGGAGGTGTTTGTGTTGTGCAAATTTATTGGACAAAGTGTGGGAAAGGAAAACATTAAAGGCGGGATTTTTATTTTTTTTACAAGTGTTTAAACATTTTAAGCAAAGTTTTTAGATATGTGAAGGTTTGTTGGCAAGTTATGAGAGGAGAATCATTACAGGATATCAGTCTGATAATTTTAAAAATGAGTAATATAAAGGTGGACTTCGTTCTTTTTAATAAGTTGCCTAGGAGTGACGGAAAGCTCACTCTCCGATTACTATTCTGTATTAGAGCTCTTATTTAAAATCGAGGTAGTAAGCTTAGTAAGACTCCCTCCTACCCCCAAAGGCCGACCAAAAATAAAAAATCTCATATAGGTATATGTTTAAGAACGTGGGTTCTAAAATTTTGCAGTATTTAAATTCGAGGTTAGCCTATATTGAAGATATTCTTTTTCGGATAGTTTAAGACAAGATTAATTAAATTTAATATGTTAGTCCTTCCTATTTTAAATTTAAACATTAACAAAAATTTATTATGACAAATATTAACAATTAATATTCAATCGTAAAATATAAATTGGTTAAAATTAGATGAGTTAATCACAAATTTAACTTTGTGAATCCTGCAATCCAACGGTATATAGATAGTGAATTGAGGCACCATGATGGGGAATTGAGGCAATATGAAACTAGTTTCAGACACTCCATGATAGCAATAAAGATCTCTACCATGTTTCGCCGCTTTGATAATAATAAAATCTCAGCTTATCTTGGAAGAAATAAGTATAGAGTTCACTGTTTGAGTTTACATTTTATGCAAGGGTAGCCCTTGATCAAGAAAAAATAAAATTAATTGGATCATAAAACTTTGATTGAACGCATAAATCTTCATTAGACGCATAAACTAGACCAGCGCCAAAATTTCTTTTCTGCATGATTTTATAAAAATATTTTGGACAAGTATTTTTTTGAAATTAACTTTGAAAAATCTAAAATGTCCATAACTAAAATCCTTTTTCCATCATTCATGCCAATGACTTTTACCCGTAACTACATTCTCAATTCACACACTCAATTTATTATTTTTCTTCAATTACTTTCTTCCCCCGATTTTTTTTTCATTTTTTATCTTTCAAATATCGTCCCTGAGAATTTTCCCAGCATTTAGAAAAAGTGGTTGGAAAGGTTGAAAACAAGAAAAAAATAATTCGGCCATGGGAATTCCCGCGATGTTGGTTTTAGCCAAAGAGAGTTTTGTAAAAAATAAAAAATATTTTTTAAAACTATTTTCATTTGCTTGGGAATAATAAAAAATTGCTTTGATTAAATAGCGATTTAATTAAAATAAAAATTAAAAAAATTTTTTGTTGGAAAATAATAAACAGATTTTAATTTATTTGATAAATTTAGTTGAAAATTTAAAATTATATTACAGGATGCGGCATTTTCCGCCACTTTTGTTTTTGCCATAACTTTCTTCAAAGTGATGAAAATTGCTAATTCTTTTTTTTTATTTCGATTACAATACTCTAAGCAAATTTTTGATACAAAAAAGTTTTCTTGAAATTTTGGAAAAATTTTTGGGCCAAAAGTCGCTTGATATGTGAGAAGCTTATAACATTCGGATAAGCTTATTCGAATGGCGTCAAAACAAAACGATTATCTTGTTCTTGAGCTGTGATATCGGTCTTTGAATGTTAGATTAGTCCACATCTGAAAGATTTCTCGTTCAACACTTGTAATTATTAGTTGAAAAAATTCCCTTATGCTTACAAAAATAGAATATTTAGTAAAGTTAAAAACCTTAAACCATCAATCGTTTAATACAAATATGTTCCTTTGTTTAACAATTTTTAAAAATTTTTTCCCCAAGCAGCTTGAATGCTTTGAAAATGTCTTTAAAGTTTTCTAGTAAAAGAATGGTCTTTCAATTACGAATATCTTTTAATTGACCTTGGTGTTCAGATTTTTGCTTTTCTGTATAGTCAATAAACCTCGAAAAATTAGAAAAATCAAAATTTCTGGCCATAACTTATGAAATCCTAACTCAAAAAATCTGAAATTTTTAGAGTTATTATTGTAAAATTTTCTCATTCTCGACAGCCTAGTCCCGATTCAGCCTTTCTAACAATCCCGCTTCCCGGACCGCTGCCGTTTTTAAAATATGTAAAGCAGAACTCCATCACCATTTCACTTTTTAAAATGCACGAGTTAAATTGTCGAGTGTCATTTAAATTAAATTTTATAAATTATCCTCGCACTCTATACAATGCCACAAGAGAGAAATTGTCTGGCGAGGGAGAGGGAGTGAAGGGAGTTGTAAAATAGAGGGGGGGAGATTCTTGGCGATAGAAAAGATTTATTATACATAATTGATTGTCAATTATTAATTAAATTTTTAAAAAATTAAAAAAAAGTTTTATAATTTAGAATATTTGTTTAAATAATTTTAATAGAAACACTTAAATTTTTTCTTTTTCGAAAAGATTGACTCTTTCAATCAGTTTAGATCACGAATTCTTTTCCGGATTCCCAAAAATTTTCTAGAATTCTTCAATCCAACCTTCCAAGAGTTTACTATTAAGTATTCCTCTAGGATCCTCTAAAATCCCAAAGAATGTCTTAAAAGAATGGGTAAACGTTTTTTCTGAGGGGAGATTCTTATATCAGCAGAAAAACATGAATCAAAAATGTTTTTCGGAAGGAGTGTCTTAGGGCAGAAAATTACTTCAAAACTTATTTAAAATCCAATTTCTATATTAAATTATTTTATTAACTCTTAAAATTAATTTCTTAATTTATTTCTCAATTTA